GGAAATACTCTGAGGTAAGAGGAATAAATCCAGACTAAATATTTTTTCTCTGTTGGATCAGTGACTCAGTGGTGCAGGTATGATTCTTGTCAGGCATGCTGGTGACATACAAGCAGCAGCAAAACCCCGCTAATGAGGCTGGTATAAGATGCTATATTGCTCTGCTCTCTAAAATAGCTAGATTAACTGTGTGTTTTCTTATATCCTGGAATGTGGGCAATAGCAAACCAGGGGGGGCACTGATTTTTAGTGAAACACTTCAGCAACTTACACAGGAATATTATGTAGCAAGTTCTAAAGTGCTTTTCTGCTGTTTCCCGTCCAAGTGATTTTTCACGGTGCGTTTGGTAAGGAGTTATTAACTGCAAACAGATTTAAGTTCTGAGGACTCCCCAGATCTAAACTGATGCTTGTCATTCAAACGCCCCAGCATGAATCACGTACAAATGTCAGTGTTCACAGCCAGTGCAGTTCATCTGGAACAAGCACGCATTTAGCATTACACAAAACACAGCCGTTCACCCCCTGACAGTCCTTGCTTGTCCTGGTATTTTGAGGGAGAAGAGGAGGACATTTATTCTTGATGGTGAACTTTAAAAGTATATTTTCTTTTTAAATGCCAACCTATTCCTTTTCCATGTGTGTTTCAAAAATGTCTCTGACACTTTGGCTCAATACCCAGGTATTCCAGCTGTTATTCTAAGATGGTGGAAATTAAAATTCTGTTGACTTCACTGGAGCTTTGCCAGTTTTTCTCAGAGGAAGATTTGGTTTCAGAATATTTAGTGGAGCCTATATCTGACACATGCACTGCAGGCACTGTGGGTGCTGGGTGGTAGCTGTACTGATGCCAGTAGCTGGAGTGATTGGGAAAGGGAAATTCCACTGCGTAACAAGGGTTGTGGTTCCAACCTTCTCATCTTTCTCATCAACCTTCCATCTCATATGGAAATGATATATCCAAACTGTCTCTTGCAAAGGTGGAACTGTGTTAGGCTGTCCTTTGCTAATCCTGAGTGATGTGTAAAGGGCTGGAAGTGTGTCCTGACTCTAGGACCCTGATCACTCTGAGTCCAGTAGAACAGAGATTTGAACCTTGGCCTCCTGAATTTCCTGTTGGTGCCATGGTCTCAGGTCACCACAGCCTGAAAGCATTTCTTTTTCACATCACAGATCTAAAAAAATATCTTGACTTAGTAAAATTTAAGTGCTATTTTTTTCATACTCTGAAAGGGAGTCAGTGCCTCAAATTTTCCATGCTTTTTCCAACTGTATCATCTTTTCTATTAAAATTTGCTGTGTCTCCTTCAAATTTTTTATCCTTTAACACCTCTCATAGTACTACCACAAAAAAAAAAAAAAGAAAAAAAAAAAAAAAGAAGAAAAAAAAAGAAAAAATCACCAATTGTTCCAACAAGCACAAAGCAATGGAACTAATGTAGGTTTCATGTCACAACAACTTCGGTATATAACTAATGAATCCATTTGTAAGATACCTGCTGACCTCCACAGACTAGTAGTTCCTGATCCTGACTTTATTTAGTTGTTCCTGTGCATAATCCCGCTGCAGACACTGAAATTAATGATAACTCTTCTGTGGATTTCAGTGTTTGCAGGTTGAGGCCCTCATTTATTAAGGGTTTATCATTGCAAATTTGCTGAAAACACCAAACCCTCACAGCTCCTGTGGGCCTCATTTTCAGTCCTGCAGAGGCATCTGTAATACCATGTTTGCTATAGCTGAGTCATTCCCATGACAACAGATGGAGTCTAAAATACAAGATTCTGACCTTGCTGTGTGATCAAACAAAACAGAGAAGCTGGGCATTGAAGACAAAAAAAAAGTTCATTGAACACAAATGCCTATAAATCCAGCAAGCAAGTGTGAGAGAAGCAGCAGATAAAAACTAAATATTTCTCCTTCTCTGAAGTTCTGCTCCAAGGTAACTGCCCCTCCACAGATTTTCCTAATCTTAGGATGTGCTATGAGTATCCTCCTCTGCAGAAAGCTCCAGGGAGAGCAAATGAGAGCTTGTTAATAAATCCATTTTGCATTAATTCTTTCTGGAGGATGAGCTGTGAAAAGCAATACTATTTTACAGCTTCTTCCAGTGTATCTAAAAGCAAGGCACTTTGAGAAATGGGACAAGATTGAAATGTTACTTGAGTTGCGTTAATAGTCCTTGCAATAGAAATCAAGGCAGAGTCAGTGAACTGCTCTGAATCAAATGCTGGATTGGTAGAAGAATCAGGTAGGAAAAACCTAATTAGTGGCCAGCTGGCAGTGTGGTCATCACAGGAAACCAGTGACAGGCCTGAGTGACCATAAGATGTCTTCTTCCTGAGCAGGAACAGAGACAAGGCACAACTGCAAAGGCTCACATTTCCCACCAGTTCATAGGCTGAAAGTCATAACAGGGAAGAGATGTGCTGCAGCTGGCCTGGCAATCAACTAATAATTTCAGACTGAAGTAGCTTTTAAAAACAATTCTAAAGGATTGACAGCAGTAAAACAAAACTTTTAGGTGTTGTTAGGAAGACTGGTGGTCCTCACAACTGTGTCAGTGAGAGGTGGATTTCTAACACCCAGTTTGAGTTTGTGAGAACATTTTTGAGGATTCCAGTTGTAAAGAAGTATTGAACAGTCACTCTCAGGATCCTACCTTGTAACAACGTGAGCATTAAGACTTACTTTGCCTTAGTGGTAGGACAAAGAGCATGGTTTGAATTGCCCCAGTGCAGAATTAACTCGGATTGGATCTTCCACTGACAGAACTACACCTGTTAACATCTACAAACAAACTTGCTCATGGATTCTGGAACCTGGCAAGGGTCTTTTCCCTTACAGATAGGGCACTCTGATAAATATATTTGTCATATTGGTGCATATTATGGATGCAATGAAGAATTAAGAATGAGAAATCTGTGTCAGTGAAAACGAAGATGTGAATGACAGTGCACTGATTTACACTGAACACACCCAGAATTACAGAGACAGGCCCAGAGAGCTCTGACCAAGCCTTGTGGCTGCTGCTCTTGTGCATAATGGATTTAGTGTTGACTGTAAGCACAGAAGACCCTCCAGGTTTTGTTCAGCCTATAGGCAGATGATATCCAGCGGGAGAGAAGGATTTCAGGTCTGGACTGGAGAAGGGAAAGTCTCATTAGTACAGCTTCTTACACCTTGTACTTTGAGAACAGGTCACAGTAGGAGCAGATGACATCTGCAAGGCAGACAGGTTGGTGAAGCTTTGATTTCATGGGTAAATAGTCACTGTACCCAGGGAACTTGCCCAGTGGTGCTCAAAGTCAGTCCCACTCATGCCCTGGCATGTACACTTTATCCACTGACAGTTCCAGTGTCCGGGGATCTGAGTTTTGCTTGGCCTCAGTGAACAAATTACAGTCCAGATACTGTGGGCCAGAAATGATAGAGCAAGCAGCTGTTGCTCTGCTGCCTCTACATCTGCCTGACACAATAATTAAATCTCATCAGCCATTCAATATAATGGAAGCAAACCAACTGCAACAGAAGGATTTTGCAGTATAACTGTCCTGTGATGTATAACTGCAGCTGTATATTTACCTTTGTAATTAATTCTGTAAGCATTTGTATGGAGTTACAAGGGGCTGAGTAATTTAGAAAGCAGTGGAAGAGATCGTTAAAAATAGCGAAAGGCATAATTACTTTCTTCAACCATCAATCTCCTCCATATCTTCTCTGCTGATGTTTCCCATGGACAATTTATGTTCATTATATTACCTTCTTACTAAAATTATCTCAGATTTCATTTCCAGGTTTGGAAAAAGGCAACAGTGCTAGAGTGGGACAAAGGCATTGCCTGTTAAATACCCCGTAGTGGGCAGAAGCCCTAATTTTGCTGCAGGACTGACATTGCCTGTGACTTGAACATAATAAATTAATTTCCTTTTGTGGAAAACGTGGGTCCCACTTCAGTGGATGTTCTGTGCTGACATTTATGATGTAGGCTGGTACCTAATGTAGCTGATTAAGCACTGCATTTATGCTCATTGTATAAATCCTTGTTTGATGAAATAAGTGGGTTATTGAGCCCTTTTTATCAGATTTCTTTTCAAGAGAGTTGATTTTTTATTTATTTTTTTTTTGAAACTCACACAGTTCAACTTTTTGGCAGGAGTACCCAGGAATCTTGCCAGTGGAAATCTTCCTTCTTAATTAATCTTTTCTGAATTTTGTAGCCATAGATATATTCTCTCCTGGTCATCCTATACCAGATCAAATGTATGAGGTTAACTGACCTACTCTAGGTTTGCACCAGCATAAAGAAATGGGACTCCTTTGTGTGTGTGTCCCCCAAGGCTGCACAGAAATAGATGTCTCCTTCACTATCAGTGTTGTGTTTGTCTCATTCTTTCACATCACATAAAGTTTTCAGCTGGGCCTGGTAAGGTATAAGGTATACTGAGGCAGGCTGCACTGTGGGGCCTTTTTTGTGACCTCCAGTCTTGCAGACCCCAAAGCCAAAGCATGCTGATGCAGGGCACATGACCAGGAGCTGGATGAGCTGCAAGTGAAGTTCCTTTGTGCTGATGGAGAGCAGAAGCTGTTCCTCTTTTCCAGACACCATCACTCTCATTTTACTGACTGGAGAGTAGGAAAACCAGGCCATCAGTGCCCTGTGCTGGCTGTGAGGGAACAGTTGGCAACTTGGGCATGAGCATGTGTAACCAAGCTTTGTGACTGGAAAATGAGCTGAGAAGCAATCATTTTCTTCTAGAAAGTCAGCAGTGTTTTCTTTCTATAAGCAGCAGTTGCCAGCAGGGAATTCTTGAAAATAGTGAAATATTCTCCTAAAAGACATAATTTAACTTCAGTCAGCTTCAGTGTGCCCAGCACCCAGGCTGGATCCTAGGCCAAGGACAACAGGGGCTGTTCTGACCTTCTCCCTGCCATTATTTGGAACAAACCTCCCCAGTAATTTGTTTTTCTGAGCTGCTCTTTGTTTTGTGTTTTCCAGAAGCGCTCCGGAGGCGTGTGCTCGTACCTGCACCGCGTGTGCCGGGCGGCACTACCATTGCAACTGCTGCTCCTGCTCCTCCTGCTCCTGGCCTTCCTCCTGCCCCTGGCAGAAGAGACCCACAGCTGCACACTGGCCAACAACTTCGCTCGCTCCTTCAAGCTCATGCTGAGATACGAGGGCCCACCTCCAACATAACTTCTTGGTGTGGCGCGAGGTGACTGGCAGAATGCAGATTCTTTATTTCTAGTTGCTTCTGTTGTAGATTTTAGGGCTTCTAACATGGCCATCATGTCAACTGGATAGATCACATAATTGCAACATAAGATTAATCCATTTTAATCAGGTATTTGAGCAAAATTAATATTTTTACAAATTTTTTATTATTGTATTTATAATATGTATATAGAGATTGTGTATGTGTATGTATGTACATATATATATATATATAAATGCATATCTGTGGTCAAACCAGCAACCACCATCTACTCATCCACTGTTTAAGGATAATTCTGCAATGTTTCTGCCATCTTTCTGCAAGCAATACTGAAGGATGGTGTTGTGGGATTTTCTGGGTGATTTTTAACATCAGATTCTTGTTTACAAAGACTGAAGTCAGAGCAAGTATGAGAACATTTGGCATGCACCAGAGTGTAAACTGGAGAGCACAGTAGAATCATGTTTGAATAGAGTGGTTGATATTCAGCCCAAGGAAGATTTGGACTATTCTCTTTGAAAACTTGAGCTGGTTTTACAGTATCTGGATACTGCAGGGATTGCAGAAGCTAATAGAAGTGTTTCTACTGACTTCAGTAGGAGTGGGGGTGGACCTCCTCTTGTTCTTATTTTTTACCAGATTTCTTTTCCAGCTACTGTATTCTCCAGCCCACCTGAATCAGGAGAGGTGGAATACAGTGGGAAGAAAGCTATAAAAAAGAGTGGGTTTTTTGTTAGTTTTTTGTGTTTGTGGGGTTTAGTGATTTGGTTTTGTTGGGTTTTTTACTTTATAAAGAGGCATTTGGTAACAGATCATAAAGCTTGAACAGTGAGATGCAGCCTGGCTCAGTGTCAGTAAAGCAAAAATTGGAAGTACTTTAATAATACCACCCTGGAAACAAGATTCCTACCTAGAATTCTTTTGTGTTAATGGTTTATTGAAATTGTGTAAACTGATTATATCAAAGACAGACATGCATAGATTTCTGTGTAATCTAAACTCTACAATTATGGCAACTTGTCATTTATTTACCTAACCCTATGCCTGACTATCAAATTTTTGAATTTTAACATTTTAACATTGCCTTTTAATGTAAAAGCAATTCTCACTTCAGAGCAATGAAGCCATTCTTAGTGGTGTTTTATCTAATTGATAAGACATTCGCTTTAGGAAGAGAAGGAAAACCTGTGATTTCTTTCATGAAAGACCCAGGGGGAGAGGAGCTATAATTTGCTATAGAATGGGACATATTAATTCCTTCTTTGCAACTTTCTGGTTCTTTCTGGTGGCAGAGGACATACCTCCTCCTGCTCTCCTGATTAGCTGTGCAAGTGTCATGCACATTCCTCTAAAAAATTACTGCCAGCCCTGGGGGGAGAAACCCCTGTGGCTGCCCAGCAAGGAGTTAATCATCACACACATCTCCATGTCATATTTAATCTTCCTTTAGAAAAGAAGTGTGGGGGAAGAGGGGCAGTAATGAAACCTGTCCTGTGTGGTTGTGGATGTCTGTAGGTGTGCACACACCTTTCTTTGACATAGCTACATTGCAGTTCTCTGCGTTTTGCTGAGCTGTTCCAGGTGATGAAAGTAAAATACCAGTGAGAAAGTAAAAGTAATGAGGAATAAGAAAGCTGCAATTGGAAATCAGTAGGGAGATAGAAAAGTTTTTTCTATGAAAGCACAAAATCTCACATCAGATTTCTTTCTGCTGAGCCTTTCTGATCTGGGTGATTTGTGTGGGTTCACAAATGCATTTGACACCATGGGAGTGTGTAACAGGGAGAAAAAATTTCTGCACAGAGGATCTTACGAGAACAACTGCATCATCACCTTGATGTTTCAGTGCTCTAGCAGATTTTTTAAAAAAAGAACCAAAGAACTAAATTAGAAACACATTTTTGCTGCTGGGTTTGCAATCAGTTTATTCTGCAAGTCCCCTGTCTGTAATCTTGGAAAGTTTTGCTTTAAATCTCAGTCAATCCATTCTCATTAACTTAAATAATCTGAATATCTCACGGAAGTGGTGAATATATCTACTTCTTTGCAATGAAAACTATCCAAAGCACAGGACTTTAATGTTCATATCACTGAAAACAATTTAAGTCTTCCATGTCATTCACCTCACCTGTCCAAGGCAGGTGTGAGATTTTTCTGGCAAAGAAAGAAAGAAAGAAAAAAATCACAAAAGTAAACTTGAGATGTAAATGTGAAATTTACTTTCTTTTTTATTCTCTTGTGTTTTTAGTTTTTTTTCTGAAAAGCTTGTGATACCTATTCCTGGTAGTGTGTGTAAATATTAATCAAGTCAGTAATTGGAATAACCGAAACAAACTGCACAGCCCAGCTTCCAGGAAACTGTATAAAGCTCAGATTCCTCAAACACAACCTAAATCATACTGCTTCCAAACCAGTCCTTAAAATCTTGAGCACAGTTCCTCATCTTTGCTCACAGATGATTTGGTGGTTATATGCTCACTTTTGTGCCTATAAAATCCCCAGCTCATACATCTCTGACATCCAGATGTAACTGAGATGTGTTATAGCTCAGGTTCAGACTGGGGCCACAGCCTTAAGCCTTCCCTTGCCAAAACATGGGATGTACAGAACCCTGGATGTGGTGTGCAGCCGAGGGCTTTCAGTGTTTTGCCCCAATCCAGATGCAGCCACAAAGGCTGCTAAACCCTCTCTGACACATGGAAGGGGTTTGAGGCTGTGTGTGCACCTGGCCTGTACTCCATGCAGACACGAGCTCTGCCCGAGCTCCTGCCTGCACTGTTGGACCCAGGAGCTGCTTGGCCACATTAATGACCCTGCAGTGCTGAAGGCAAAATCCTGCACTCTATTGCCCATGCATCACAGTCAGACATTACCCCAAGGCACACTTCAAATCCAACCTCTGGCATGAAAACAAGCCTCATTTGTAAACTGTAATTGATTTTGAAGCCTGATGCTTTCAAGAGAATTTTCCATGGCAGCAATACATTGAGGTAGAAAATTGCTATTGTGCCCTATGTCTATTAACAGCCCTTTCTTTGATTCCAGGCAACAATTTAAATGGTATTAAATATTATTTATATATGCCCTCTCCATAAATCTCTGTATGAAACACATCTTCAGTTCTAAGCACATACATTAAAAATGTTGTATTCCTCTGCTAGCACTCAATCTCCAGAGCAGTCATGATTCCTACCAAGTGCTACTTTATTTGTACTGACCAAGAACTTCAAAAACTCAAACATTTGTGGCTGTAAATTAAGATACTAAGCTAACGAATAAAATCACCTAGTGGTCACTGAATAATTTGGACAGCTTTTAGAATGGCTTTATGTTTATTCTCCTTAATCCCTTTTGTTGGACTATTTGTAGATGTCAGAGAGAAGAAACATCTCAAAAAAATGGCCATTCCTAGATAGACAGATGGTGATCTCTACACATCAGAAAAAGTAGTATTTTCTCTAGTTGCTCTAGAGCTCAGGAGTTTGCTACACCAGATCTCCTTTTCAGTATTAAATAGGGAATGTTTTACTTTGATGTGTGTGCAGACACATCTCATTAGCACTAAAGAGATTTAAAGAGTGAGTTCATGTACAATAATTCTTTTAACTTGTGTCAACATGAGAGTCCTCTTAATTTGAGAAAAAAACCAACCAGAACTGCTGTGTGACAGAGATTCCCAGACCAAACAAAGCCTTTTGGAATAACTAAAGATTACAGACTGAAACTAAATGATCCACCATAGGAAACTGGAAAAATAGTTTTGCCTTTCAAGAAATGCTGGTATAAAACCCCCAATAAACATGTCTTTGCCAGGCAGTATAGATGTCTTTCAAGTCATAGGTTATGTGCCCAGCTGGCTGTAAGAGCTGCTTCTGGAGACTTTACTACCCCTTGGACAGGATCATTTGCTGGGCTGCAGCTGAAAACACGTTTGTCCAGAGAACCTATACCAGCTTCTGCCAGAATTGCTGGGGGCTGTTGAGGATATTCTTAGCAGTTCCCAGATCATTGACCTGCTCTGAGCCATTACAAGTTTATTGCATGAATTTATCTGTCAGCCGTTGGCAGCTCTCAGAAAACAGTTTATTAAAATACTAAAGATAATATTTCTGGTGCAGGCAACATGATTCAGTGAGAAATCAATCTTACTACTTTTGCCATATTTAAAAAAGATATCTGTTGGTTATACTGGAGTATAAACAGGTCAGTTGTAGGTGTTGGATAACTGCAGGATGTTTTAGGCACAAGGCATTTTGACTCTTACATGTCCATTTAAGAACTGTGGGATCATGTTACATTTGTTAAATGGTAAAACAAAACAAAGATTCTTGAATTAAAAGAGAAAAAACAAAAAATCCCCAAAACAAAACCAAAGAAGGATGGAATGATCTGTCACACATTTGTTTTTTTTTTTATTATCACTTTTCTATCCAATTTGAAATATGAATATGTGTCTACCAGAGAGTTATCAGTAGATCTGGAAAATGAGGAATATATATCAGGAATATACCAGTTCAAACTGTAGCCTAAATGGCAACTCTGTTCCTTCACCTGCTTCAGGAAATGCCAGATTTTGCCTCACTGTACCTGTGAGCTAAAAACCCTCCTCCTAGTAAAGTGTGGGTAAGGTGAAACTTCACAGCTTAAGGTGCAGCATCCCAGTGGAAGCAGCAGGAGACATTAGTTCTTGCAAAGGTAGCCTGATACCCCCAGTGCAAGAGGGGAACACGTAGGGCTGGCATAATGAGAGCAGTCCAGCACTAATGACACAGGAACAAGGGCTTGCCATCCTGCTCTGCCTGACAGAATTTTGACAGTGGCAGTCAGCACAGTTCAGTTTCGTGTCCCTGGCTGTGGAAGGAGGCTCCCCTCAGGGTGATTCACTCGAGCTGAGATTTGAGCCCTGGAAGTGTTTTTCACTTTTCATTAAACAGAGAAGAAATTGCTAAATTAAAACCCCTCAGTGACAGGTTAATGGTAGGTGGTGGGTGTTGATGTTCCAGGAAAAGATACAGGAAACGCTATTATAGATAGAAAGCTAGTCATGGTGGTCTCTGTTCAATCCTCAGGAGGCAAAAATGTATTGTAGAACTGAAGTGGGAGTTTTTCTGTTCCTTTTCAAGTAAATGTCAGGTGTTGTCTTTAGTCTCCTGGATTCTGGAGGCAAGCCTATTCAGTGCCTTACTGAATGCTAGTGGCTTTCTGGCTCCAGAGCCACTTACATCAGCGAGTTACACATTATTCCAAGTTGTGTGAAAAAGGTATTCCCCTGAACTGGTTTTGGATCAGAAACTTTTTCTTTGGGGAGTGGGGATGGTTTGCTTTTCCTTCTTTTGGCCACTTAGTGTTAAATTCTAGGCAGCAGGAAGACCAGCACTACACTTTCCAGGCCGTGTTCTCTTTCCTTCTTTTGTGAGAGCAGAGGAGATTTGGCTTTGCTTCCTTTCCAAAGTAAATTATTTCAGTATTTTATTCTTCTTTTCCTGTTGCAGTTCTTCCACAGCCTAGGTCATTCCTATCACCTTAAGTGTTTCCAGTGGCTGTTCTTACTCAATACTTAGAGCAAAAATCTGGTCCGGTTTCAGTAAGTTTAAAATCCAGTCATTTTTTCCCCCATTGCAGCTCCTCCTGCAGATGCTCTGTCTGTTTCTGCTGTCCCCTGTGTCAAACCAGCCTTCATCACTATCTGAGGGGACTCTAGTCCTGGTCA